CGGGACCGCCCAGGGGCTGGGTCTTCGCTCTTCCCGGGGCTGAGTCCCTCTTGGCCCAGAGCGCCTCTATTTGTCTTTTTTCTTCTCTTTTCCACTCTTCCCAATAGTCTCTGCCCCACTGTTCTTTTTTTCTCTTTCCCCAAGTGGGACATCCTTCCTGGGCAGAGAACAATTTTTCTTGAATATTTCCATAGTTCACACCAGGGCTTCTGAGTGACCTTGGGGAAGTCTTGGAACCTTCTGGGTCTATGTAAAAAAAAAAGGGGGGGGGGAGGAAGGGTATTCTCTAGGTCTGTTTTTCTGAAGATGCTGCCAAAATTCAGCCCCAGAGGACTCAGACAAGGGAATGAAGGCGTTTCCTCTCCCTCTCCACCTTGCCCATAATGGGACAGAGCAGTGTGCATAAGCCCAAAATCATCCGGAAAAGAAGGGCTTTTGGTCTGAGTTTTATATTAAAATGAGGGAGGGGACTAATTTAATTCTTATTTTGAAAAATAAGATGGTAATGCTTTCTTACGACTCCTTGACTATTTTGCAGCACTCCAAACTTTGTTCTGTGCACCAGCCCTCCTTGGCTGGTTTTGCCCCTGGGAGCAAAGAATGGCTTGTACATTCCTACCAGGGCACAGGGAGGGGTTGGTGATGGTTAAGAGAGAAGTTGGCTCTGGGTGTAATTGTGCCAACTGTTGGAGGGAGGCAACGGGAGGGTGGTCTTTTCTGTGGGTTTGGGATCTGGTTACCTTTAATTCTCCCCCAGGCCACCTCTTGCGCTAATGGGAGTCTATCAACTCAGGTTTCTTCACTTGCTTGATTGTGGAAGCAAAGGGGCAAACAGCAAAGCAGACAGCTCAGCCAGAAAGAAATACACCAGGCCTCTGGAGCTGGGGCTGCAGGCTCATGGTGGGTGGCACCGCAGGCCTAGGGCAGGGCGTGGTCGAAGGTCTCAAGACCAGGAGGAGAGTTTTAAACCTCCCTCTGACCAGCCTCTTCTGCTCCATCCTTTCTCGAGGCAGGAGGCTAGAATAAGTCCTGCGACCTCTTAGAAAAACATGCTTTTCACACCTAAAATTGAATTGTTCAAAACCAAGCCAATCACTGCAGGTGTTTGAACAGAGTTGTTTCTCTGCCCAGAAACCATAAAAAACAAAACCAAAAATCTCAAGTGCCCTTACCTCTTACCAGTTTATAAAATATTTTCCACTGATATCGACTCGCCTAATTCTGCCAGCCCAAACTGCCAGCAGACTCCTCGTTGTCATTGTAGAGGCAAGGAAATGGAGAGAAAGAAACCAAGCATTGTGTCCAAGGTCACAGTCAGGAAATGCCCAATCCCTGATGCGGACCCCCTGTGCAAGGCCTCTTTGATTCCACTGCTTCCTGTCATTCCCTCCCATGAAATAGGCACACAGAGACCCATGGCACAGCCTGGAAACTCTGAGAATGCCTTTCCAACCTCCTCACCAACCTCCCAGCCCCCAGGGAGGAGGGGTCCACTCACTAGTTAATGCTGCAGTTTGCCACCATCACAGATACAGGTGGGGATGTCCCGATGGACACCTGGCTCTGGATCTAGCTTTTTTTCAGATCACATTCTCCTCAGGACAGTTCTTCAAGGAGCCCACGTTAAAATGACCCCACCCCCAAACACACACACACATCAACCGTTCATGTTCCCCTTACTGCCAAGATTCTTCCTATAAACCACGTAAAATAAATAACCTCAAATATAACTCTTAATTGCTTCCAAGTCAGTGTTTCCTCATCACTAAATTTTATTGCTTCCCAATCTTTAGGACGAACCCCCTTCGGGACTCTGTCCCTTCTAGGAGACAGGCCAAGGAAAACAGCTTCTTTGATATTTGACCTGGGTGGCCCAGGCCCGGAAGATGAGCAAGGGTGTCAGCGTGCTCCGAGTCTGAGAGGCCTCCGAGGGCTGAGGCTGGACCCTCGGAGACAAATGGGGAAGTTTTCCGTCTGCTCGTCTCCCCCTACAGGCCACGTGCGCCATTGCAGCGAGAGCCCTGTACAGCCCATGCATGCATTTTGCTTGTTCGCATTTTCTTGGACCTCGGGATCCACTCTCCATTCCCCAAGGGGCTGCGTGCGGGGGGCCCCACTCAGGGACTCCGCCCTGGGATGCTCTAAGGATCTTAGACCTCGGAACTGGATTGACTTTCTAGAAATAAGTGTCGGAGGGAGTGCAAACCCGTGTGTAGCCGAACGCTAAAATCCTCCCCATAAAAATCAACCCGCTTCCCCCTTTTGTTACAAATAAACCTCACTACGTGGAATAAAAAGCGGTGTCAGTAGTGTTGCCTTTAAATCTCAATTTAAGAGGGAATTGTAGTGCCTTTCGTCGCTGGTGCGCAGGTTCGGTCACATCAAATATGAGTTTCAAGCCCTCCCCCACCCAATGCTAGCGTTCATTATATATATTTGCATTTTCCCTTCCGTTCTAAACCTTTGCGGTTTACCAAGCTTAAAACAAAAAGAGCTTTTCAGAGGGGTCTCCCAGACATCCGCCAGGACTTTAAACAGGCACTGCCGGTTTGGGGGTTTGGATCTGAGTCTCCTACCCTCCAAGAAATAAAGGAAGGGGACCATCTCTAAGCTAGTTCAAGGTTAAGAGGCTGGAAGTTGTCAGCGGTTCTCTCCTTTACACCCTACCGCCAAGGCATCGCTGGAAAAAGCCATTCGGATCTTAAGCAGCGGCTTGTGGCTGAGTGTCAAGCTGCGGGCGCAGGCTCGGCCGGTATTGCTGCTATGCGCGGAAATATGAGCGAGTAATTTTATAAGTAACAAAGGATCAGGGATGGAATGAGGCCCCTGTTATCCAATGTCATTTAGAAGCCTTGGATCAGCAGCTTCTTGAAGCTAAAAGTGAATGCAAGAAGCCCTGCCTTTCCCTTTTCCCAGGAGTGTCAGCTATATTTAGAAATAACCTCTATGTGTTTGCACAAATCATGTACCATTTGCTGTTTGTGTAAAAACCGATTAGCCAGACACAACTGTGAAACAACTTGTTACTTTTATAGCTGCAACACACAAACAGATTTAGATCCGTTTAGTTTTCCTTGTAAAAGGAGATTAGAAGGGACCCGCCCGGAGACTGTGTGGTCCATAATCTCTTCTCCTCGAAGGTTACTGTGGCTCCGCGGCGGTTATCTGGATCTTGTTTGTCAAGTTGAACTATTTCACTCCCGGCAGCCTGTTTTATTTTAGGACCCTGATCCAGAAGGAATGTTTACTGAGACACAATAATGTTTACCATTGACCAGGAAAACAGATTCGGTATTTGTGAGGGTCTTTCAAAGCGGCTCGGTCCACGCCGTCTGCAGAGAAATAAGGCTCGGATCTGAAGCCCCGAGGCATCTCTGCGACCAGGAGGCAAGGTGGGCGCCAGCGGCAGGGATCGTGGCCGTGCTCTGCAAACAGGAGGAACCTGGGGCTGAGCTGACAAAACCGCTACCCGCTCCAGCTTTGAAGAGAGATTTCGCATAAGTAATTGTAACACCTAAATTAATTACAAAATAATTAGAATTGATGCCCTTTGAGGATACGGTAGTGGTGGTGGGAACCGGCCTCCGGAGTCTAGATGTTACATGTGTACCTTAATACTTTTAAGGTTGCAACAGCAGAAATGCACATTAAAATAATCTAGGAGGAAAAAAAAAATCTAGGGCATCTTCACATTCCTGCCCTATGATCTCAAATTTCACACTAAGTATACGCATTTTTTTAAGAAAAAAAAAGGGGGGAGGGGGTGATGTGCACCTGTTTTTAAAAGGATATTAAGGCCACACTATTCCTCGGCCTTCAGAAAAACTGCGGGTTGGAGGGCGGGGAGGCATCCGAAGAAACCGCTCAGAAATTGAAATTATGTTGTGGATTGCCATAGAAAAGAGGTATCTTATTTGAAAACATTATTTAAGAATAAAACTATGTATTACCTATCAGGTTAATATAATACAATTCCACTGCAAAATTCAAAATGCCATAACATACACTTAAAAAAATCAACTGGGTTTATTTACCACTTCCACTTGAGCAATGAAAATAAGAAATTTCAAAAACTAAAGATTTAAATGCTAAAAGGAGGGCTATGTCTGGAATTTATATTCGTTTGAAAGGATAATACTAATGACCAAGATCTGCATTTGAGAAATTTTCATTGTGCAAAATATGTTGGTATTTTTTAATTAAAAGATTTAATTGTTGAGACTAAGGTTTCTTTTTCTTTTCTTTTTTTTTTAGGTAGCAGGTTATTTTATCTATGGACATTTCTGGTCATTAGATTTAATGGATTGATATGAACAAGATCATGCCCCACATCTGGGTTTTATGTAAAAACTAAAAGAAAAATATTACTATGATTTAAATTAGCATATTCTTTCCCCTGTTCAATTAAACTTTTCTTACAACAAATTATGAATTAGCAAACTCCTCAAATTTCTGGTAAAGATGAAATACAAATATTTTAAAATCTCGTCATTTACTTCAGATACCTAAATGAAACACTAGGCTGAGCGTTTTAAAAATTTATTTACAAAGTTGTGTACAACACGATGGAATAACATTTAGAATACCATATATATTCATTCATATATAAACAGACTTTTATAATAGAATGACACTTCTTGCCTTTTGAAAATTCTTTTACATTTAAAATCTCCCAATGTCTCTATACATTTTTCTCACATAAAACTGTGGAGAGTGAACCTTCAAAAAAAATGAAAGTTCAGAGCTCTAAATCTACTGAATTTGTTTTTTTTTTCTTAAAAAAATAAAAACCCCAAAAGGAAAGTCAATAATTTTTATACAAATATGTACAAAGAATTTCCCTCCCTTCCCCACGGTACTGAGAGCAGATGCCGTCAGGGAACATTTTTGGAAAATTTAAGTTTTCGGTTTTACCTGTATGGAAAGCTATTCCCGGCGGGCGCGCGCAGAGAGTTTGGTCCGCCAGCCTAGGTGTGCATAAGAGGGTGGAGGCTGCGGAGGTCGGTGCTGAGGGGTCGGGGGCAGGAAATGGAGGAAAGGCAGAGTCTGGGATGGGGCAGGGGGGCCGGGACCAGGGCGGGGCGCCCAGCCTGGAAGTGCAGCCG